TCAGTTCATTCCTTCCTGAACCTTTTCTGACTAAAAGGCTGTCCTACTCTGCCTCCATTTGTATGCTTCCTACTTTTTACATAACTAAGATGTTTTGTGTAGTTGAATATGACATGCATAGCCCTGTTTTCTGCTATGTCTTTTCTAACTGCCAACTCTGTTTCAGTAAAGACTATAAGAATTGATCAGCTGGATTACCTGTATCCTTCTTCTCACCTATTACTGCTAAAAGTAGTAAGAGTTTTAAGCAGGACTGGGCAGCTTGAGGATCAGATCAGGTACCAGCCCACAACTTTTTTTTGTTTGCAATCCTAAATCCCCATGACGATAATTCCCCAAAAGGCAGTTTCCTGACACTTTGAGATGGGAAATGGGCAACATCTGTAATAGAGTAAAACCTCAGTTTAGCAGAGCCCCATGTTGCAAACCTCAGATGCAACAACAGACTCAATTTCCATCCTGACTGTGCCCTAAAATAACGGATGAGTCTGTTGCATCTGGAGTAGTCTGGATGAGGCATTTAAATTAGCTTTTCTTTAATTTTACAACACTCCTAGCAAGTTACAGCATTTGTTTAATAACCTCAGTATACAAATTGATGCAAATCATGGTATTTGCATAATTTATATGATGGACTTTAAAAGAAACTATGTATTTGTTTTTATTGTTGTTAGCCGCCCAGAGCCACTGATCTGAGATGGACGGCTTATAAATTGAATGAATGAATGAATGAATGAATGAATAAAGTTCCTATTGAATGAACAAGCATGAATAATGGACATCCCCTTCTACCACCATCCCAATTAGTCCATTAAATCAAAGTTTTACTGTATATAACCTAAAATCAGCTTATTATTTAAAGAAAAAGATCCCCACAAAATGCAAGGGGAAAAAACCTCCCAGAAAATATTGGTCTGCCTGTTTGTATGACATGAATCTGCCTACTTTTCATTGTCTCCCTTTTTTATAGTAATTTTATTTAAAATTACAATTTACAACTATAAAAACTAATACAAACTAATACAAACTAAAAAAAATAGAAAAATAGAAAAATGGAAAGAGGAAAGGAAAGGGAAAAAAATTGAATATAGTAAAGAAAAATATATAAAGAAGTGATATACCTTCATCACAATGAGTTTAAACAATTTTAGTAACTTACCTTCTTTTAAAATACAGCAAATGATCTCTTCTCCCCATATCTATCTCTTATCTATAAACAAATCCATAAAACCTCATTTTAGTCCTAATGTCAGCAAAAGTCCATTAAGGATTACTAGAGATAACAACATATCTATTTTAGCCTTCATCAAATAAACCAACTTTATATGCAAACCCAGTGTCCTTTTAAAGGCACTGACTGTGGTTTGAGCAAGATGGCTATTTCCTTGTCTCCCAGAGCTCTAAACCTGCCAGAGACCACTGTCTTGCAGTCTCCTCATGAAGCACAACTGCCTGGAGCACTTACGGGCAATCTGAAATCCTCTCCTTGTCCAGAGAAGAATTATGAAGAGCTGGTCTACTTGCCGGCTCTTCATTCTGCATGCTCCACTTCTTGCAGAGCCATCTTCAGTTCGCCATTTCTTCCCTGGAAGCCCCTACTTTCATTATCTCCTTACCCCTGGTGACTCTCATCCCACCAGTAAATGGATAAATATATAAATAAATAAGTCTGTTGCTGCCCCATTCCCCCAAAGGGAAGCAGATTTGGTCACATGGAATTGATGGATCACATCATTTTGTCTTCTAGATGTTGCTTGCCTATATCTCCAGCATTCTTTACTATTGACCATGGTAGCTAGAACTATTGGAACTTGTGGTTTAATAATATCTGGAGGGCTACACATCGTGTACCCATTCAACTTGATATGTAGGTAAGTCTTATATCATCTCTTCCTAGTTTCACATAAGATTTTAATATTAAGTAATTATGACACATTTGATTAAGGGTGATTACTCCTAGTGCTCAAGCACAAACACACATTATTTACTCTTCCCTGAGAACAAGATCCAGTGGGAGTCTATTGCTGTCGCGGTAGATGTGGTCAGAATGAAACACTGAAGTTTGGGCATGATAGGAAACTCTGGGCTGATACACCCAAAGAACATGGACTTTTTGGACCATTTAAAACCAGAAGACAATGGAAAATCAGTGCTGTATTCTTGCTGAGTAGTCAATCTCTATACCAGGGACTCTTTATCATGCCCTGACATTGGCATTAGGGAATGCGGCCAGCAAGCCCAGCCCTGGCTTCTCCCTGTACCTCATATGTATTCGGGGAAATACCAGGATACAACAGCAATTCATATTATCTAGATTTCAGAAGTTAGTGAATGCTAATGTCACATTATGCTTTCGATATCCATCATTTTAGAACTGTTTGGAACTTATTAGAATCAGCTATTAAACTGACCAGCAAGCCATTTTGAAGCAGCAATGCATCACAAGAGGAGAAGAAACATGACGCCTCAAAAGTCATCATAATCAGCAACTCATTCCCGCAATCTATGTTTTAGCACAGTAGCTTCCTCTTCTCTTTCTTCTATTCCAGGAGTTCATTTCTTAATAAGGCCTCTCCATGGCTATGCAACTGTCTACAATTTTTCTTTCTAAAGGAAAAAAAAAAAAAGGGGGGGGGAGGCAGCTTATACTGACCAGAGAATTTTGACTTTGACTGCCAAATAGCAGTTCCTTCCGTATGGCTTTAAAGCTGCCTTACTCTGATGCTAAAGTCTCACTGCTGCAAGTGTGTACTGGAATTTCAAGTGGTGTGACATCAAAAAAAAATCTATATGCATATCCCATACATATTATCCACTTCATACCCAAAGAAGCAGGTTTAAAATGAATTTATGAAATCTGCATGAACAAAGCAAGTTCATAATTTCTGTGTGCAGTGGTGCTCATAAGCCACCAAAAAACCAACTTTCTTTGGGCCATGAACCTCTCACAGAACTAGTTCACTCTATTTTTTCCTCTTTTCTCCTCCAAAAGTTTGAACTGCCTGAATCCACATTCCCTCTTTTTATTAGTTCATTATTGGTATTTGTTTTTCCAACACCAAAAAGCTTCCACTGGAAGACAGGAATCCTGTCATTTTGGCAATATGTTCCTCTCTTGTTACAGCCCTTCTATCATCTCATCTTTTATATTTCAAACTCCTCTAGGGTACAATAATAATGCCTCACTTTCTTGAATTCAGCTCAGTCCCTTAAATCAGTGGAAAACATCAATACCATTTATAACATCATGCTAAACCAGAATGTAGCTTAACATATGGAGCAAGTGCTGTTGGAGACATTCTCAAAATGGGTATTAGGAAAAAATATAATCCTTTGCTTGTACCAGGACATCCAACTACCACATTTGTAACTGGCCATCAACTAACACATCTGTAATTACAGAGACAGCATTTCTACAAGAACCCTGCTAATTAAAATCATGAATAAATTACAGTCTTACTTTAGATATGGATCTTCTTGAATTGTTTCCTTTTCTCTGCCCTAAATAAATCACAGATAATTTCATCAAACGGCTTTGTGTTTCAGTGGTTAAGTGGCATCAGTTCACACTGTTTATGATTCATAAGCTTCTGCTTATCATAGTCCTATGCCATATTTTCTTCTCTAAAGCTGTGTTTGTACAACACACTATAAACCAAGGGTAACAAACCAGCACTGTACTTTCACACAGCATGCTATGACAAAACAGACTATATTATGACTTCATGAGGTATCGTGTGGGTTGTGTAATTTTGGCCTTACAATTATGGTTTATAAATCCTGTTGTATGGTATCGTACAAATGATTCTAGAAGTCCTCTGTATTTCAGGTTGGGTTAACCTTAGCTGAGCTAAGGTCCTCCATTACAGTTAAAGTTTCAGTAACACTTTTTTGCATTCTTTCCCTTTGAAAGACAGGGCTAAACTATAACTTAAATAAAATTTGGAAATACAAAAACTTCATAACAGCTGTATGAAGTAACAATAGGCAGTTTAACAATGGGATAGCAGTCATAAAATACTGTTCCCTCTATACAGTGGAGACCTTGTTGCATGTTCTCTTGAAAAGAAAATGCCAGACAACCTAGAGTAGTATCTTCTTTCACTTGTAGCAACTTCCAAAAGTTAACTATGTTGGCTGCTGTACCTAAAACAGCATGACTTGTGGTACCCAAGATTATCAAATGCATAAATAAATGTGTTAGTCTTTAATACCACAACCATCTTGCTTGGTTTGATGGGAATCATCCTAAAGACACTCATAGTTCCTCATATTAAATCACACACAGTTTCACTAGAGATAAATATTGAGGAGGAAAGTATATCTGATTTGGTAATCACCATCAAAGCACCTCACACATTTTTGGGTCAAATGTGTACACAACGAACTGAACCCATAAGGAGTCTGCAGTCCTTTGCACTCTGGCACAGAATTAAACTCCATTGAAATAAACATTACTTAATGATGAGTAGATACTGTAGCATTTACAGCTCATTACAAACTATTTTCATCAACTGGAAGCAGCTGCATTCTCAGCAGAACTTAGAAGAAAGAAAACAAAGAACGGTAGGCAAAATCCATGGATGAATCACTGGGATGAAAAACGGGGTGGGGGAATAGAAAAACGAAAGAACTGAAGTTACAAGGAAGAGAAAGGCAGCAAAAGCCTATGTTGAAATACTGTAAGTCTTAACGCAATAGCGGGTTCTCCCAGAAAGGCGGCGAAAACTAGCTCCAGACGCATGGGCAGAAGGCTTGTGAGGGGGAAGGAGGGCGCGCAGAGCAGCCTCGACCCACGCTCTGGGTGAGGATTATGGGAGTTGCAGTTTACATGGCGAGAGGGTGCCAGGCTTGAGGGTCAAGGAAAAGAACAAACGAAAGACAGTGGGCGAGGCAGAGCGGAGTCTCACTCGCGAACCTAAGTGTGAGAAAGCACGCGAATACAGTAACCAGCATCGTAGGCAGGGAGAAGACAGCCAAACTGGAGAGGCATCACTCACAGAGCAGAGAGTTCCCGCACTTACGGACACTTTCCGACGCCCGGGAGAAGTGAATTTCCCTTCTGGCGGCGAACGTTACGCCGGGACGGTGGCGCAGGGCAAAGTTGTCCTCGCTCGCGGTCTTCGATCCACCCCTGGCTTGCCCGCTCCAGATCCTCAGCTCGCAGCAGCCCTGGCACCAGCGTGTCGCCGGTAGAAGAGGGCGTGAACGTGCTGGCGAAGGACCCAGAAGCAGGATCGGACGAAGCCAACCCGGCAGCGATTAACTGTCAAATAAGGAAGCAACCGAGCGAGAGAAGAAGGAGTCACGAAGACCTACGCACGAGGTCAGAGCCATCGTCCGCTCCGGACTCCAGAATGCCCCTCCCGCCTCTCCTTTCCTTATCTCCCACCCGCAGCCAAAAGCGCCGCCAGACCGCGGCAACTAAACAGGAAGAGGCGAGCGCAGCCCGCCTTCCTTTTTTCGCTCTACCTGGGAAAGTAACAAGGGGTGGAGTCTCGCGCCCATAGGCGGAGGGAGGGAAGGCGGGGCGCCGCTCGCTGGAGTAAGGCAGGTGGAAGACCCACGCGGCCGCGGGGGGTGACTTCCTTTTCTCGACCGCGGAGGCGTCGGGTGGCATCTTCGGCCGCGCGCTGTTGGGCGGAAGGGAGTCGCTCCGACCGGGCTCCTTAGATAGACACGCAAAGGATTCTGCTCGAAGGACGCCGTTCCGGGGTGTCGCTGCGCTTCCGCGCGCCGGCTTCGGCACAGCTGCGACCCAGTACGGACAATTAACCGGGTTACCTAGGTCAGTCTTCCCCAACCTGTGGCCCTCCTGACGCGAAGGGACTACTGCGCCGTAATTCCAAGCCATTACATCCGTTGGGACATGGGCTGGGAATTACGAGCTGTGTAGTTCATATTTCTCTGGAGACCGTCACGTTAGGAAAGGTTGACCTAGGATAATGGTGGCGATAGAGATTTAGACTGCAATCTTTCTTTCAGTATATAGGATAAGTTTTATTTCTGAATGAACCTGGGGAGGCATGCATTAGCCAGTTTGGTGTAGTGGTTAAGGCACCAGCCTAGAAACCGGGAGACCAGGAGTTCTAGTTCCGCCTGAGGCACAAAACCAGCTGGGTGACCTTGGGCCAGTCCCTCTCAGCCCCAGGAAGGAGGCAAGGGCAAACCACTTCTGAAATCTAGCCGAGAAAACTGCAGGGACGTAATCTGCAGCCTCGCAGGAGTCAAGACTGACTGAAAGGCGCACACACATTGCAACCCTCAAGTTGGATCATTACTACTGAATGTGAATCACTCATGCCAAGATGAACTTCAAACTAGATTATTAGTATATTTGCTCCCATTCATTGCAGGGGAAGATTTTATTTTCAGTGTAAGTAGTAGTAGACTATAGTGCTTCAAGATGAGACTTGTATTGCCCAATTGATTTGTTTCACTGGCTGAATTTTAGAGGGGTCTAGATGTCTACCTTCTTATAACTCCCAGGGTTCTCCCACTATTTCTTTTGCTGGTTTCTTATCAGAGACATGTTCGCTACAAATGTTATTGTAATTTTATTTTTTAAAGAAAGAAAGTTTTTAAAAATGCCCCAAATGTTGTAACTCTCTACATAGGGGAAAGCTGAGAAAACCTTTTGAAGTATAATGACCAGGGCTGAACATAGGATTCTGAATGTGAAGGCAAACCTTTGATTTCCCCAACTAGGAAATCTAGATTACAGACTAGGCAGTTTTATTTACTGTTCCTTTCATAGTGATCCTGATGATTATACCACAATCCCCAAATCACTTCCTACTTAGTCACTGTATGTCTAGACTACCCATGTTTCCATAAATTTAGGATGAACCATTTTTATGCATCACTTTAACTTGCGTACACTAAATCATATTTGCCATTTTCTGTAGCCTTACTACTCATCCAGCACTAGATATCTTAACATTTCCAACCACCTTGTCAAGGAGGAAAAAAATGTGTCTGGTCATACAGTCCAGACTCACATAATATCTTTAAAAGTCAGACAACTCCTGATTCTTCCATACCATTGCTACCTTCTTCCCCCAAAGTTTCGGAGGCCATTTCAAACTGGTCCCACTGTTGTCGACCTTGAATGCTGCCTAAGGTCATGAATTCACCATCCAGATGACCAAAGAGAACCCAGAAATATCCAGCCATGTCCTTAGCATATATTATTTGACATTTGGGGCTTTACATAAAGTCTCAACATTGCAGTTTGGGGGTGGGTACTGCCAAGGTGCAATCTAAAACTACTGTGAAATGACTTCTGGGGAGAGCCAGGAGGGGGTGAGGCAGATGTTCCTACAAATGAGAAATGGTGTGCTCCAAAGCTCCACAGAGCTCCAGTGTTTCCATAGCATAGAGTTGGTCCTACAGATGGCAAGTGCCACATATGGAGGTGCCATTTCTCTTAGACGTCCTGGCTTAATCAGGATAATTGTTGTCTTCCATTCATTTGCAGAATCAAAATTAAAGAGCTCAATTCATCTTAAAGATACTGCTTTCATAGCACATCTCACTACCATGCACTCTCAGAAACCATGCATTTCTCTTCTCCTCAAATATTATGTAAATGAAAAATGCACTTACTGTATGTGGGTTGTCTCACTCATCATGTGTAGGGGGGGGGGAATGAAAACCCTTGAAGTTTATCTCCTTTTGAAATCATGCTTCCACTAGTTGGTGAAAAGTTACAGACTTTGCTAATCTTCTGATTCAGAAACAAACTTCTGACCCAAGTAGCTCAAGGTTTTTTCTTCTCTTTTGCAGAACTTGTGATACCAGGCAAAATAAGGTCTATTCCTGTCTTCTGCAATCAACCTCATGTGGGTTCTGAACCTAAACAAGGTTATTCCTGGTTAGCATTTGGATGGGGGATTGCCTGGGAACTCCAGGGCTATTGGCTAGACTTGTGTGTGTGTGTGTGTGTGTGTGTGTGTGTGCGCGCGCGCGCGCCTTCGAGTCAGTCTTGACTTCTGGTGACTGCCTGGACAAGCCCCTGCAGTTTCCTTGGCAAGGATTTTGCCATTGCCTCCTTCCTAGGGCTGAGAGAGAGCAACTGGCCAAGTGGCTTTGTGCCTAAGGCAAGCCTAGGACTCACAGTCTCCTGGTTTCTAGCCTGGAGCCATAATCACTGCTCCAAAGTGGCTCTCTTGGCTAGACTGGAAAGTGGAAAAAACATCCTGAACAAACCACTTCCATAACACTGCCAGGAAAACAGCATGGAAACAGCACAACTTGAAGTGTCTACTTTTTTTCTGCATAGATTCCTCCTGCCATCTGCTTATGAAACTTTCATCTGCCACTGTGTATTATATACAGTATGCCTTTAAAATATATTAGTTATTTCTAAGTCTGCACTGTTATATTTACATGTACATGAGAATATACAAGTTTATGCCAAACAGTGCCCTCTTTTCTTTGTGGTGCCTAAGCAGCAGCCTGGGTTAAAAGCAGAGAATTGTTTCAGAGGAAAGTAACTGACAAGGAAAATAACTTTTTACAAACATAGCTGCAAATGTGGTCAGGAACAAGCTAGGCTTAGCTAGCCAAATTTAGCATGATGTACAAACATCAGATCCTGACTTCATCTACCAAAAAAAGAGAGAAAAGAGTCTGGCACTGTTAACAAATAAAACAAGCCATGTCTTTGATCTGTGGTTTTCTTGAGCTGGAGGAAACCAGAGACACGTGTTGGGGTAAGCTTGGGGAATCATGCCATGGATGGCTCCTTGGCATTACCACTTGTGAGCAGGGCTAGCAGGTGCTTTGCCATGAAACCAGCCTTAAGGCTTCACACAGATATAGGCAATGATGTCACCGTAAAACCCCAGGGTTGCATGCAATCCTTAATTTTTTTATTTTTTTTTATTTCTGTGTGTGACTCACAGCATCCCCTTCAATCAAAGTTGTTAAAAATCAGCATGTTTTGGTTTCCACCGTTTTGAATGGCAAAAGCTGTAGCTTTATCATAGAGAAAAAGATAATGCCACCCACTTCCCCCACAATCCAGGAGAAGCAAAAAGATCTGGCTCCACCCATGTGCATGACATGGCCTGTTGTCTTATCATCATCTCTTTCCTCATTGCAATTTGTATGGTCTTAAAAAGTATTAAGCGTGGCTACCAACCACCCAAAGGTTGCCCAACCTTGGTTTAATGTGACCTGAAAATGCAACTCCTGGCTGTGTTTGCACATCATGCTAAGTCACAGTGTTGCATCAGCCCAGGTAATTGTGGCTTGTTCAAATCATGGTTGAAACCAAGCTGGATTAATGCAGAATATTAACCCAACCCATATCTCTCAGGCAATCTATTTAATTTTGTTGACAGAAAAAGAGGCCACTGAAACTCTGCTTCTTATAACTACAATATTAAGGTTTGTTTAAAAATTTCCAGGATAATTCATTCTCAAGCCACCCAATTGAAATGTTCAATTAAAAAAAAATGGATTTCCTACAGAAACACAAGCTTCAGGATTACTTCTGTAGCAAAGAGAGCAAGAGGGAATTCTAGTCAAGTGGCTGGCAGGCCATTGATTACAAAAAAGAGATAAATCTTATTAGGAAATAAATACTTTAGATTAACAAAGATCCCATTGATTAGATTTAGCTTTCCTTGTTTTATTAGAACTGGGTATTTCTTCTCTCTCACACACAGGTCATGGTGATGCATAAGAGGCTCCACCAGCTACTCTACCATGCTTGCAATAACCCTGTGAAGTATGCTGGGCATATTAAACTTAAAAAGCTCCATTAATGAGTGCATGTTCACCACCAGTTTTTCCCATTATGTGCAGCTGTTGAAGAAAGCTTTGTGGTGTACTGTCTCATCCAAACCCCAAATAGCTTCCATTTTGGATTTCCTGAAGCTGGAACTTGTCACCAAGACAAACTCTGCTCATTAACTCAGCTTTTCAGGCGTGTGTGTTGTATGAACCCAGCTAGTGGGTGCCTCCAGAAGAAGGGTTTTACTATGCAATCATTCTGCTTTAATCACAGGCTTTCATATAGGGTTCAGAGTAACCTCTCTGTTAATTTGGCCCTCTTCCTTGGCCCACACTTTCATTACACTGTAAGATATAGCCCATGTTGCCCTTATCCGGTGCCAGTCCAGCAATCCAACCGTTATTAAGACTCTGTATGCTGTGGACCTTTAGTGAGTACAGCATCGCTCTGCTATTTATTAAAGGAGCCAGACATATTTAGAAGATTTGTCAGCCCTATCACTTATGATTATGAACATATGTGGTCAGCAATGTTCACTGCAACAGTCACTGGCTTCAAAATGGCGGGTATGACTGGATGAT